AAAAAAAGTTATTAGTATTGGCCTATAAAGTATCAACAGTGTTTGCAGGAAAAATAATATTGGGCAAAAGAATTTTTTTTTTCAGGAATGAGTTAGGGAATTTTTGCTGCAAAATTAATCATATAACGTTTACATTGTCAATGAAAATTAAATGAATACAGTCAGTTCATATAAATGATATAATAAGCAACATTATCACACATATTTTTTTAAAACATAGAATGTTTTATTTACTTCACAAACCAATGAATTTTGCACCGAGTGAATATCAAAATCTGCTAATATTTACAACAGTGATTTCTTTTCATTCTACAGTTCTTCTTTCTGAAAAGATATTTTTAATAACTTGATACGGATATAGCTAATTTTTCTCATTTTCAATTTGTTACAGGTTACTATTGGCGGTATGCCAGTCACTGCAGACCATGTTGATTCCTTTGAATCATTAGCAGTTGAGAACATGGTTGCAGTGTAGTGCCCGGATTGTGACGAGATACCCCAAATTGGAAAGGTGACTTGTCGTACTGAAGAGAAGTTCACCATTCATTGGTATACAGGCACTTGGTCAACTTCATGGAAACCTGCTTTCATAACAACAAATCGGAGGAAAATTGCAAATGAAGATGAACAGCCCATTGAAGCTGCACTCTTCTGGGGCTTCAAGCTTAATGGCAGGAGTATGCTAAGTAGAGAAGCAAAATTAATCCTGAAAGACAAATATGACTCTGCTGTGACATCTCTTGGTAATTAATGCAGCTTCATTGATTATGAAATCAAATGAAAATGATTACTTTAACAATTTAGTTTTAATGATTCAGGGACTTTTACTACCATTATTAATCAAGGAGCACCAAACCACTTATCTGGGCTACAATGTAACCAGTGTTGTTAACTGCATTCTTACTTTGGTGCACCGAAAGTTTGTCTCGCACTTGACTTATAACAGTTGGACTTTCTGGCATTGCTGTGCACACTCCAGCAATCAGATTACAAGATTTGCTCGAACTGGTACAGGTGACTTAGTAGCCAATGTTGGCTATCTTGTGATTGTTTTTACTGTACCGTGAATGTTACAATGTACCAGTCAAAACAAAAGAATTTAATTGAACAGGGCAAAACTGTTGCCCAGTTAAGTGGTTTGGTGCTCCTTGATTACCGGGTAATAATGGTAGTATATGGATCATGTACTATTTTTAATTTATATTTTAGTTGCATCTGAATTTACTTTACTGTCTTTGCTCCATTTTTTTGGAAATTTTATATTATTTTTTTAATCCTTGTCCTGTTTGTACTATTTTTTTAATTATTTATTTTAAAATATACATGTATATATAATTGGTAAATCACTTTTCTGTCTTAGTCCCGTTTATTTAGCCCCATCTCAGGACACAGTGTGGGACGGGGGCTGATAGATTTGGTTGCGTGTGTCTGTGTCACAGCATAACTCCAGAACGTATGATCTGATTTCAACAAAATGTCTTGGACGAATTGTGTAGTGTAATGTGTCTTTACGATTCATGCGCATTTAGGGGTAATTTTAGATAGAAAATGGTCATTTTGGGTCAAAAATGATGTTTTATCAATTTCTGGGCTTTGCATCGACCAATTTTGGTTTTGTGGTACAAGGACATTCATGATGTATTTTGAAGGGTAAATACAATCTGATTAAAATCAAATGTAGGTATAGGCTTCACTT